TGGGGACGGGCCGCCCTGCGCGCGGTTATTCGGGCCCAGCGCAGCTTTCCTGCGGAGCAGGACGGAGCTGGTGAGATCTCTCCCAGTGATATCTCCCGTTCCCGCCGCCAGCAGCACAGCCAGGAGCCGCTCCCAGTGCCCCCGTAAGGCTGGGAAGCAGCCGAGGCCCCTGCAGGGCCGCTTCAGCAGGGCCCTCTGCGTCGTGGATGTGCCGCTGCCCTCCGCCTTCCCGATGGGTGTGTGGGAAGCTGCGGCGCCCGCACGTAGCCTTTGCGCCTCTCATTTTGCCCCTGCTGTTTTTCCGGGAGGAGGAAGCAAAGGCTTCGCGCCCCTCCTGGAGCGGTCGCCCCGGCACTGTCCTCATACCGACAGTTGCCTGGGGAATGAGCGCAGGCCCCACGCAGGAGCTGCCTCCGGAGGCCGGGTCCGGTGCTGCCGGTGCCGCGGCGCTCCGGGGCTCCGTGGCGCTGCCTGCCTGCTCCCTGCCTGCCGTAGCGCCCGGGTGTTGGGGCGCAGCTCTCTCGGAAGCTGTTGTCCCCAAGCCCCGCCGGTCTGGCCATGTGCACCTCCAAAAAGGGCGTTCGCGGGGTGTCTCTAGACACTAGTCAACTTTGGGATCGCCCCAGTTTGGAGAGTGTGGGGCATTTGCCAGCAGCTTGGGCTTCAGGGGGAATTTGCTTTCCCTCCAGCTTCAAAAACCCACGTTCTGAGGCTCAAGAGGTCGGGAACACCTTGGCCAAGTACGGATGAGCAAAATGAGACGCTCCTTGAACCGCATGAGCTGCCGCCTTCCTGAGCATCCCCGAGGCCGTGGAAACCCCGCACGGGCAGCTCTGCGGGGCTGCTCCGTCATCCCAGCGCGCTCCAGCCCGGAGCTGCTCCGCGGGAGCCGGGATGGGAGCCCAGCGAGCGCGGCCTGGGTCGGGAGGGGCTTTGGGCTGGGGCTGCGACGCGGAGCTTCGCTCCCGGCCTCGGCRTGTCCGCGTGCGGAGGCTCCTGCCCCTGCGTGAGGAGCTGGGGCTCCTGTCGCACCCCCAGTTGCGCCTCTCGCGCTGGTCTTATCTCCCCTCTTCTCTGCCGCTTCTCATCCCGTCGTCAGCGATGCCAAGGAAGACGAGCTGCTTCTGCTGCCTCGTCTCGTTAATCCGGAGAAGGAGAAGCTTTCACAGGCCAGGGAATGTGACCCARCGGCTGCTGACTCGTCAGTTTAACGCACGTTCCTCTTAAGTCCCTTCTAGTCCTCTCCCCAGCAGCCAAAACGAGACCCTTCTCCCTTGTAAGGAGGGTGGTGCGCAGGGCGCAGCTGCAGCGGGGCTATTTACTGCTGTTAAACCCGCACGCGACATCCCCCTGGATTCCAGGGGCTCCTTTCCCATAGGCCGATTCCTGCCGTTAATAGCAGGAAACACGAGGGGCTTCTGCTGGGCTCGTCCCAGCCCCTGGTAGTTTAACAGCAGTGATACACGCAGAAAGCTGCCGGCTTGTGCAGCCCCTGCCAGGCTGTTTCTGCTGTAAATCCACGGAAGCTGCCTTGGATGCAAGGCAGAGGGCCTGTTCTCGTCAAGGATCCTCCCTCCCTGAGCTTAATGTCTTTCCTGCGGGCTTGCAAGATGGTTAAGAGCAGCCTGGGCTGTGTTTCTGAGCGGCAGAGAGGTGACGCGGGCAGATTTCCTGAAGCCGCCGGTAGCAAAGAGACCGGCCGGAGCCGAGCTGGCCAAAGGTCCCCTCTCTTGCAGCAGACGTGTTCGTCATCGCCCAGGTAGGTCCCTCTGAGGAAGCGAAGTGGGCGTCTCTGCCGATGAATCACCCAGCCTGTAAATCCTCGTGAGTGCTGCCGTCCCATTAGACACGTAATGGATCCTCTGGTTTAGCAGCAGCGAGAGGTGCTGGAGAAATTAATTTGTGGAGCCAGGGAGAGCGCTGCCWTTTGCTGAGCTAGCATCGAGGAAGAGGAGAAGGGCTCAATTAGCAAAAGTGCCTTTTAAATGGAGATAAATTTGCTGGGAAATGAGGTGCTCCATTAAGAAAATAAATCCTCAGAGCCTGGGATTCGGCSACAGTGCTTGCAGGGGTGAAAGCAGCAAAGAGATGAGTTTGTGTTGGCTCCTGGCTCTGCTGAGGCCTCCCTGAGCTCTGCAGGGAGCTGCGGCATCCCTGTGGCCGGCTCCTTGTGCCGCTTGGCAGCGAYGATGGCTCTGCCCTCGTGCGCTCTGCAGCCCCCAGGAATTGTAACCAGGCTCTTCTGGATGTGCTTTTCCATAGAGGCAGTTGGGCCACGTCTGGCGCGCTGACCAGCGTCG